GGATCTCTGTGAGTTCGAGGCCAGCCTGGTCTCCAAAGCGAGTGCCAGGATAGGCTCCAAAGCTACACAGAGAAACCCTGTCTCGGGGGGAAAAAAGAAAGAAAGAAAGAAAGAAAGAAAGAAAGAAAGAAAGAAAGAAAGAAAGAAAGAAAGAAAGAAAGAAAGAAAGACAGAAAGAAGACTAAACAAGCCACGAGGAGCAAGCTAGTGAGCAGGACCCCTCCATAGCCTCCGGATTCCTACCTTCAGTTCCTACCCTGTCTTCCTGGATGACAGACTACAATCTATAAGCTGAAATAAATCCTTTCATTCCATGTTTCTGATGGCTGTGGTGCTTTATCATAGCAACAGAAGAACAATACCCTCCACCTAGAAGGACAATCCTTCTTTGTGTCTCTCTTGTACGTCCTCTCCTCTACCTCCCCGTCATTACCACCTGGCATGGGCTCCTAAGTACAGGAAGTCCTGAAGCATACTTTGAGATGAAAATAAATGGGAAAAAAAGGGACAAAGGACTGATAAAGTATCTTCTAATGACACTCCGCACGTTCTTGGCCATGATTTCACTTTAATTTTGCACATCTACCTACAAACTGTTTAATAAATCTTCCTTACTTCCTGGGTCTCCAGGGTCAGGATGCCAATTTCACAGGTAAATACTCCTTAGCTTCTTTAATACATTGAATTAGTCTGAACTGTGACAAGGTAAAATGTGCTGTGAGCAGATGATTAACTGAACGAGCCAAGCATGGTGACTGGGTGTTTAAAGTAAGGGTGTAACTGTGCTTTTGATACCCATTAGGAAGCATGGTCAGTTACTGTTGCAAAGCTCACTGTTTTGAGGAAGCTGACCTCCAGTGATCTCAATAACGAGAAACCCCAGTTTCGTTGGGGTTCAACATAAGCTTGACCAACATAAGCTGCTGGGGCTTAACTGCCTCATATCAAAGGGTAGTTAGGCTAACTCTGTGAGATATCCCATGCCAAGTTCAAGAGCAACAGCGGACTATGAAAGCTTGCTAAGGGGTGGGTGCTACGGCTATTGGTTTTGCTGTTGGGCTGCAAAACATGGAGAAAACTCTCCAGAAATATGCTGTAGAGCAAGGGAAACATCACAGAGACTAACCAAAGGAGGCAGATAGCATGCAGCTACTGAGGAGATCTTCACCTCCTAGGACTTGCAGAGGAAGTGACAATTGAGTGACATCACTTCTTCAAGCACACGTTTACTAGGCCAAGTCATCTATCTGCTGCAGGCAAGCTACAGCTGGTTTGGTCACATGCTTGAAGATGAAAATAAGGTTGGCGATGTGGCTCAGCTGGTATAGGGCTTAACAAGCATCAAACAAGGGCTGTTTCTCCATCACTGCCTGAAAGTGAGCGTGTGGTACATGTCAGTAAC